TTTTTACATAACATATCAAACAAAATTTATTTTACAGCTTTCTCCTTGATGCCAATGATCATGATGACCATCACAATGGGAGTGGGCAGAGTTGAACTGCCATCTTTATACTTGTAAGAACATGCTCTGATTGATTTACACTCTTTTATTAACCTAGGTTGAGTTGTATAGGCAAAGAGCCCATTTAAAAAAATATCAAGTTCAATTGGTCAAATAAAAATTGAAGAAACAGAAAATTTGGGAAAGTAACTAATATATATATAACATACCAAAAAAAATCTGAACCATTTTATTTAAAGCCTTCCTCCTAACATCAGAGACTAAATGCGATTTCAGGGCCACCAACCCAGCTCTGAATTGCAATCTCATGTGCTTGGAACAAGTTGCTGATTCTTGTTGTATTGATGGATCTGGATGTTTATGCACACCCAATATCACAACTCTTCAAAACATGACTTGGTTGCAGAGCCATCCTTACCCTAGAGGTAGGATCGATGCAGGTGACTTTTTTGCCAGCATGCCAGCAGCCTTCTCTGGTCTGGTGCTGTGAAAGAAGATTAGTGAAAGCATCCTTGGCAGTCTCGGTAAACTCCAGGGCCATGCTACTCCAGAATTCTATTGCATCGTTGTATCATCGGTAGGGCACAAGTCAGATTTAGCCTTATGTACATGAGCATCTGCTAATTTCCAATAATCAAACATCGCATACTTGAATTGTTTCATATTGAATTGTTTCTTCTGCAACAATCAGTCATACTGCCTTGACATCTTGTAATTAATTATAATAATAATAGCATTAATAATGATTATGAAAAGCAAAGTACCAATCATTTGTTTACTAATTGGTGGGAATCTTATAGTTATCTAGAAAGATCTGCTCTGTGTTTCAATTCCAATTAAAATATTTATAAACTAAAAGACATATCAATGCAAGTAAAAAATATTCTTCTTTAGGAGAAACATGTTTTGTCAGTCAAAAAATAAGATTGTTTTTCCAAGAAAAAAAAACCAATTCGCATAGTGGAAGTTTGTCATTGCACAAAATTTTATACAGAACCCATTGCTCCTAAAACTTCACCAGTATATAGTTGTTGCCTCTCTAAATTGGAGGTCAAGTTCAGATCCAATTCAAATCCAGTTCATCACTTACTTTTTATTGCCAGAATGTTTGCTGGTATTGTAAAGTTACATTGCACAATATAAAAAAATCTTGTGCAACACTAAGTGCTAATAATAATATTATTAATATTATTTGGTTTAACGCATTTTAAAATTTTTTTTTTCAAATTAAAAATGTCTTCAAAGTATCAAAAGCGAAAAGAAAATCAAGGAGTGGCTGAGGATCGAGGGTAAGTGTTTGGGTACGTATTACTTTACCGACATCATTTTACCGACAGTTAATTTTACCGACAACACGCAGTGCGCCATTTTAGCATTTTATTGTTGTTTGATTATGTGGAGGTTAAATGGCGCTACATGTATTGTCGGTAAAATGAACTGTCGGTAAAATGAATGTCTCCCATTCAAAATCGCATCTTTTCTTTTACTAAAAATCAATTAATTAATTAATATTAGTAATAATTAATTTCCAATTTGATTAATAATAAAATTTTATCCTTTTCTCAAAAACTATAAGACAGTTGGAGAGTTTGAAGAAATAATGCACAATGTACTCTCTAGTTTGTATGTTTCATAAAGAATTGTATATTACCATGACAAGTAAACATTTAATATAAATTCTGCACATCTTAGAGTCAACAGCTATCAAAATTCGTTTGCCAAAAATAACAAAATCAAGGACATGCATTGCCACAATTATGTTGACTCCGTGATTAAACCGTTTTTTCCAAAAGGAAAAATACAACCATGGACTGGTATATACCAATAATGAAATTTGTATGCTAATATAAAATAAATATAACCTATTTGTTATTCTATTTCTATGCATACTAGTGAACTGGTATGTACCAATCATGAAATTTGTATAATACTAATCTAACTTATTTGTTATTTTATCCCTATGTGGAATTAGGCAAACAGGACATCTGGATCATCTGCTTGGATGAAAAAACAATTTGATCCCATCCTTTCTGGCTTCAGGGTTGGCAAATGACTAGTCCATTGCCATCAATAAACACTAAATATGGTTAAAGGGTTACATTAATGGACCCAATGGACCACCAATGGATCGCACATTTGCCAACCCTGTCTGGCTTAAAACCTGATTTTACTATTAGGACCACCACCAATCTAAAAAGTTTGTCGAATTGATGTTTGCTGTGATAAAGCCGCCAAATGCACGAGAAGATTTAGTGAAGATTTAGTAACTTTAGGAAAAACCATGCGAGCATCATTGGATAAGTCATTAGAAGTTGGTGCTGATCTTGTTATCTGCGGATTACATGTCATTGGTAAGAGTATGGCAAATTTTTTTATGTAGGAATATAATTTTTATGAATTTTGCCTTTGAGATGATATCTCACATTTTGCATCTTACACATATGTATATAGACAAGATTGATTTGTGGAAACGATCGAATGATAAAAGTGATGGTTACAGTGAGAGTGTTTTGCTCGAGAGAGGGACACCCCAAAAAATTGAATTTATCGAATGATATTGGTTGGGGAATTTAGATTCCCAGAAGATCCAACAACCTGGGAAACACTCATGGTCTGTTTTCAAGTGATGGACACAATACAGGTAAGCAGACCTCAATTTCGAATAACAGTTAATTATATTTATTTTTATGGGCCACTAATCACAATACGCCTTTTAGGATCTAGTAAATAAAAGGGCCAAGATGTTATCCGAAAGGGCACAAATCAAGCAATACGAAAACTGAAATTTAAAAAGACGATGTTTCATTGCCCAATAAAGTACCCTATGACAAAGTTTAATGTAATAGTGAATATCATTAGAATAGGGGTTTTTTCATCAAAATAAAATAAAATTTCACCTGTCAATTTAAAAATGAAATATGTATTCTTTATAATAATCGCTTACAAAATATACATAGATTTTACACAAAAATGAGGAAGCATAGCTTCGAATCTTCGATTCACCATGAAGAATAATATCATATAAAAATAATTAATGATCCTTGACTTATATTATTATTCACCGACCACAAGATATCCTTTGATTCTAGAGAATTGTCTCTATGACAAAATGCCAGATTTTTGATAAATATAGCTATATATAAAAAATCATTTTCTATATAGTAATAGTAATTAATAATTTTTAATTAGCATATCCTTTTTAAGGTCTAATAAGTCTAATACCACTTAGCTATGAGTGATTGTATAAAACTGTACGATTACACACAACCAATACAAGAATTATTTATAAAACTTGTTTAATTCGTGAAGAAAGTAATGGCAAAAAAATTTTCTTAAATATATTTATTATTATTTATTATTATTATTTTATTTATAGTCGTGTGACATAGCTATGAGTGATTGTATAAAACTGTACGATTACACACAACCAATACAAGAATTATTTATAAAACTTGTTTAATTCGTGAAGAAAGTAATGGCAAAAAAATTTTCTTAAATATATTTATTATTATTTATTATTATTATTTTATTTATAGTCGTGTGACATGATATTGGTTTCTATGTTTAACTATACTCGGACTAAGTGATTGACAGACTTTATTTTTAAAATATTAAAAAACAGGAGTGAAATTTATCAAACTCCTATCACTATATTCACTATGTAAAATAAAAGAGAAACATACGTATAGTCAGTTCCCCGTTCTGCCAAGTCTTTCTGACAACAATCTAGTACCTATCTAATCTATTACTATGATGAATGGCAAAACACAATATCAGGGAGGCAACCCGAATTGTAATTATGAACCCTGAAAATTATCAGTGTGACTTTATTAAAAAATAAAAAAAATACTAACAATCTATTATTATTAAAGAAAAAAAAATATTCTATATAAATTCTATATTATATGTATATATATAATTATAAGCACAATACCTACAATACCATTATACCCACCATTCGAAAAAATGCATATGTTGACAATAAATAAATAAATATATGCTTGATTATATATACATATGTAAATGTGAAATTAAATGTACGCGTGTGTGTACCTTTTCTTATTGTTCAATTATTTTAATAAACAAATGATAAATTAATTGGAAAAAACTCAGTGTTTTGTTGATTATTATATTAATCTTCACATAACCAATGATGATTTAAAACATCGTCAATAGTTGGACGTCTATCAACATCACGTTCAAGTATTCTTTTGATAAGATCAATTGACCCTTCGGATAATATATATGGAATTCTTAAATCTCCAGCAATGATTTCATCAATGTTATAGAATGGGTTTTCCTTATAGATAAGTGTGTATAATAATATACCTAATGCCCATATATCTTGTGGCTTCCCATCATATTTTTTACCAATTAACACCTAATATTTAAAAGTATTAAAAAATAATTAACAATACAATCAATTAATGATAATAATAAATAAACAATTGTCATTATTATTACTACAAACCTCAGGAGCAGCATAATCAACAGTTCCACAGAAAGTATCGTATTTTTTACCTTCCTTTATATAAGCACTGGATCCAAAATCTATCAATTGGACATTATTATTTTCATCAAGTATTACATTCTCATCTTTGATATCACGATGTACAATTTTATTATGATGCAGGTGTTGAATAGCCTTTGCAACTTGACGAAATATCGATTTTATTTCGGATTCAGGCATTTGAGTGTTTAATTCTATATAATCAAATAAATCCATTCCAGCACCACGTTCTGCCAAGTCTTTCTGACAACAATCTAGTACCTATCTAATCTATTACTATGATGAATGGCAAAACACAATATCAGGGAGGCAACCCGAATTGTAATTATGAACCCTGAAAATTATCAGTGTGACTTTATTAAAAAATAAAAAAAATACTAACAATCTATTATTATTAAAGAAAAAAAAATATTCTATATAAATTCTATATTATATGTATATATATAATTATAAGCACAATACCTACAATACCATTATACCCACCATTCGAAAAAATGCATATGTTGACAATAAATAAATAAATATATGCTTGATTATATATACATATGTAAATGTGAAATTAAATGTACGCGTGTGTGTACCTTTTCTTATTGTTCAATTATTTTAATAAACAAATGATAAATTAATTGGAAAAAACTCAGTGTTTTGTTGATTATTATATTAATCTTCACATAACCAATGATGATTTAAAACATCGTCAATAGTTGGACGTCTATCAACATCACGTTCAAGTATTCTTTTGATAAGATCAATTGACCCTTCGGATAATATATATGGAATTCTTAAATCTCCAGCAATGATTTCATCAATGTTATAGAATGGGTTTTCCTTATAGATAAGTGTGTATAATAATATACCTAATGCCCATATATCTTGTGGCTTCCCATCATATTTTTTACCAATTAACACCTAATATTTAAAAGTATTAAAAAATAATTAACAATACAATCAATTAATGATAATAATAAATAAACAATTGTCATTATTATTACTACAAACCTCAGGAGCAGCATAATCAACAGTTCCACAGAAAGTATCGTATTTTTTACCTTCCTTTATATAAGCACTGGATCCAAAATCTATCAATTGGACATTATTATTTTCATCAAGTATTACATTCTCATCTTTGATATCACGATGTACAATTTTATTATGATGCAGGTGTTGAATAGCCTTTGCAACTTGACGAAATATCGATTTTATTTCGGATTCAGGCATTTGAGTGTTTAATTCTATATAATCAAATAAATCCATTCCAGCACCATGTAATTCCATCTCGATATAATAGTGATCATCATCTTCAAAAAAGTCCACTATATTAATTTATTAATCATTTAATTTAAATGAATTAATTATTAAATAAATGAAATGAATAAACGAATAAAATATTTGTGTAGTTGGTATATATTTACCCATTTGTACAATATTAGGATGAGGGATGCGTCTTAATGTATGAAGTATATGGATTTCTAAAGGGATAGTACCCAACAGTTTATCACGCGTCCAACAATCAATAAGTATACGAGATTTAATAACATATTTAAGAACAACTCTTTTCTAATAATAATAAGGTAATAAAGTAATTAATTAATCAAGTAATCAGTTTATAATTATTATTTATAATTATTTATGATATTATTATACCTTTTCCGGATCGTTTTTATTATATGCTAATGTTGCTTCACCATAAGCACCTTTACCCAAAATATCAATTATGTGAAAATCCTTAATATTTTTTGATTGGGTCAATACCGAATATTTTGCAGTTTCAAAAGAATTGGGAGTAGGTAGTATCAAAGGTGAGTTGAGGATTTGAGGTTTTTCGATCGATGATAATGATGGTTTACCACCAGCTGCTATAAAATTAGATAAACCAAAAATTTCTTCTCCCAGAGTTTTAACGATTTTTTTATTATCATGATCTTCACCAATTGTTTCCATTCTTTCTATTTTTGATTTTCCGTCATCATGATCTTTGGAAAAGTTTATATTACGATCATAGGTTATCCATAATGCATGTAATGGTTCATCAGGAGATTCCAAGACACGCATTTGTATGTCAACATCAAACTCTGTGCCATCTTTATGTACAGCAATTATACCTGAAGGACCATGAGATGAGAATGGAACTGTAGCTGTTATGGATGATATTGTACTAGCAGATGATGATGAGCAATCTTTTGGATGAGCGGTATAAAGAAAAAGATTTGTAGCAGAGGTTGGAGTAGCAACGGATAATAAAGAAGCAGCTCTACGAAAAGTATTTTCAGATATCACAATTCCTTCCACGAGTGCACTCTCTGATTCCAAAATTTTTACAAGATGAGGAAATTGCGGTAACAAATTATCAATATTTTTTTTACCAATCAGTTCTTGTGCACCAACACCAAACAAGTATTTGACAAAATCAGAATTGCATGATTGGATGACGCCAGTAGCGTGTGCAGTTATAACACCGGCAATGGTAGGGATGGAAATGATTTTAAGTGCATATATTTTATCAATAACACTGCCACTGCCATTATTATTATCTTCTTTAATTGTTTGTAAAGTTATTTTTCCTATGATTGGAAAGTTGCCACCATTCTTTGATTTGCTGCCATAAAATTTTGTTTTATTTATTTTATCAATGTCCAATTCTGTATGAAATGAACATAAACCTGCATTATCATTATGGTTATTATCGTCGTTAAATTTATCGATAACATCTAATTTTGGAATTAGTGTAATAATATTCATTCCTAATAGTTCTTCGGGTGAATAACCATACAAAGTTGTCACTTCACCAGAAGTTTCCAATATCATTCCCTATAAATATACATGTACATATATAAACTATTAAAATACATGTATACACATATTATATACAATTCATAATAATGATATAGACCTTTTCATTAATTACAGCAGTCATCATTGATTCAAGAATTTCTTCAAAAATCCAAATAAATATCGAGTTTCCACATTCATCTTTTTTCACCTTTAACCATAACGAAGCAGCAGAAGTCTCTTCATTTTTTCTTTGTATTGGTATCTGATAATCAATCGATCGGTCAATAAATTAATATAAATTTTGTTGTCACGTGGTTATTATATAAAATAAATCTCGCGCATGCATACCACTTTACCACATGCCAACACGGCTTCAGAATTATCAATTTCGTTTTGAAGCCTGGAAGCAAGCGTTTGAGCCATTTTTTCACGAAATGGGCTACCTATCAACTTCAATACTTTAATGCTTAATACTTCGGCTCTAGAATAACCAAATACTAAACAAGTGATATCATTAGCATTTAGTATGTTAGTTTTATCATCGGTTGTGATTATAGCTTGATTCTGAGATGTGAATCTAGTTGTAGAATGTAAAGCCGATGAAGATATAGGAGTGTAGATTGAAGAAAGTCCAGTCAGCGTTCTTTTTGATTTTCCAGAAAAACTAAACGACTTTGAATCAATTGATTCAAAAGGAAGTATGATATCAGACGGAATGATAGAGGAGGAAGAAGGTTCGTCAAAAGAAAGTAGAGTTTGTTGTACTAGAGGAAATTTCCATCCTTTTATTTTATTTTTCATAAAGTCTATGGATCGACGAAGAATATTTTGTCTATTTTCTAATGATAAAGTGTTGTTTGTGACAAAACTATAACTGTGTAAAGACTCAGTTGAGAATCTTGAAAGATCTACACGATACGTTATTTTTGTCATGTTTAGAATTCCAGCATCATCACCACTACCACCACCATTATTATTATCAGCATTATTTGAAATTAATCTATCATCTCTAATTCTTTGTAAACTATTTGGTAATAAATTATCATTATTTATTAATTCTTGGTCTAAATCTCTAGTAAATTAAAAAAGGAAATCTTATTGTTATAAAAATGTAAAAAATATCTACAAATAATGTACCACATTATATGATTATACTGTGTATAACCTAATAACAGGTTTTTCTACTTGTGTTTTTTTTGATAAAATAATAAAACTAGAAACTCACTTTAAAAATTCTTCTGGGTAAATATTATTGTTATCGTCATCATCGCCATTGTTTTTATTATCGTAATCTTGATAAAAACGTAAATATTTTTCTTTTTGATATGGTGATTCTATAATAACAGCAAATATGTAAATAAATTTTTATAAATTTTGCATATATATATGTGTATATATGTATGTATGTCTACCTGAAACTTGAGTCATTTTTTAGGGTTTTTTTTTGATTTCTTGTGACAATTATTTTATTGAATAAATGAATGAGTAAGATTTGTAGAAAAATTGAAAAAATGAAAAATTGATTATTTATACAAAAAAAAAAAAAAATAGAAATCTAAAAAAAACAATTTTTTTTTATATTATGTATTATATGGGACCACGCATGCAGCAAACAAAACAGGGCCCCAAAGACTAGTAGTAATAAAAATAATTTGTGAAACCGAATATGATGATAATATTTTTTGAATAAAAAATGGTTACTACGTTTTGTAGCAGTATTAGTATTGGGTATAATGTTTGACAGAAAATTTATTAAATTTTTTTTTTTCTAAAATTATTCAGAATTTTAAATTTTCAAGTATGAAATTTGATGCCCTTCTAAAAGACAAAAGCACCTCCAACAAATTAATTAAAAAACAACGCGTTTTAAAATTATCTTGTGATGTAATGATTTTGTTGCAGCATGCATGGAATGGTTATAATTGGTCAATTTTATATTTATAAATTCTATTAATTATATTTATTTATTATAATGATTGGTGTATGAATGTTACATAAAAATCATTTGTTCACACAAAAAATAAATGATTAAAAATAACTTTTCATTCATTCATTATTTTTTTTTTTTAAAGTTAAAGTCTTATGAAGTACTGATCACAAGTACCGGGAGTGATTGTACAAAACATGATAACAACTGATTGAATCGATCACTTTATTATGGTTAGAAAGTTATAGTTATTCATATATATCAGATCTAGGGAAATAGTTAATGTTGATTTATTCCAAAACTTTTTTATCTGAAAAATCGCTATTTTGAATTTCAGAGTTCTTTTATACATATTAGCTTTAATCAACAAATCAGAATACTAATGCTGGAAGCCGATTGAGATTTTCACAGACCAAATTGAGAACAATGAGCCAATTATGTGATAAGACACATGGCAAGTAAATCACTAGACCAAAATAAAACCAATTGACTCTGGTAACAAGCAATAGTAAAATAATAGCTTTATATATAACAATACTGGTTTTTTTATCAGATTTCGTATATATATAAAATATCTGGTTGTACAAAGGCGGGAAATAGCATTTCAAAAAATTGCTATACTAATACTAATAATACCACCACGCCATATAATAATAATAATAGATAATAATAATAATAATAAAAATCCGGAATTTCTTGAAAACGTAATAGTAAGAGACACGTGGTAATAACAATAATAATAATAAGGGATTCGGATCCCCTTATAAAAAAATGTAATATTAATATATAGTAATAGTAAGAAAAATGGAAATAAGAAATTCTGTATTTTTCTTTTTAGTATATAATAAGGACGTGTTTCATATGACATCAAAAAAAAGCAAAGTTTGATTCTAACCTTTTTTTGATGACGTGCTGAAATGTGAATGAATACCTCCAATCCCCACTATGACTTGAATAGTATTTTATTTTTGGGAATGATCTTCCCATCTCAATCAGGAAAAATCCCAAAGCAAAGGCGTACAGGATTCTGCAATGCGAAATGACACATTTGCTGTGGATGGACTTTTCCAATTTTGCAAATTTTGCATTAGCCAATAAAGGCAATTAAATTCCCCTTATTAATAAAGATTCTCATGATTTTCCGATCCTTTTTTTAGTCCACATGTTAAGTCGTCAAACATTGTTGATCAGTATCAACCAATAAAATTGCAAGAAATTTTGCACTGCCACTCTAGCATACAGTAAGTATGTGTGACCCTTTAATGAATATTAGGGCTTTTTTAGTGAAAATACTCTTAACACTCTAAGGAAAGTAAAGTTGATGGCTTGCGCTACTTCAGACAAGCTTCTACAACTGTTACAGTAAGTTTGCTCTGATTTTTTCTGGTGTACATCTATTTGAAAACAATGATTAATGTCTGGCTAACAACATTTCTTTGTTCGCCACAATTCAAAAAACTGCGCTGCCCACTGCATTTTGAAATTTCGTTGGTGGCAACAATGATGGATGACATCCTGGGAGACTTTGGAGGAAGAAAATATTCGAATTAATATTAAGCCAAGATACATTTTGGGGAAAGGAAAGATAATCTAAAACATATTGAACTCGCGATACTTGGTATGTATCCTCATTTTGTCTACACTAAAATATATATTAATTATTTGTTTTATTGCATGCATTTTTTGTTTAAAAGTGCCCGACTTTTGTACATAATTGTATACCAGATCTGATCCGATTGCAATTTACACATAATAGGATCTAACCTGATCTGATCTAGTTCAAAACAGATTACAATTTAATAGGATCTGGAGCTTTTAAATTTTTGATGTGCAGCCATTAGATTAGATACCAAGACTTCAGGCATCTAAGAATTATTATCACACATTTAACGCATAAAGGCCGTCTATGCATTTTGGTAGTTTTAAGTTGGAATTTTTCATTCGCAACCATAGTTTGGACGTGCATTGTACATTGGAGCTGTTTCGTGTGGTGTTTTAAAGTAATTTCACAGTTCTCACAATTATATATTTTTGATCCTGAGAAGGAAGGCAAAAATTGATAAAATCTATTTAAGACAAAATAGAAGACGATTCTCAAAAAGGGGACAATAGTATTGAGATGCTCATCAAACAAAAAAAAACCAGAAAATTTTGATATATATACTAATACTAATACTAATACCGTAAAAAAAAGATCCGTGTTTTAAAACTCTGTATTTTTCCAGGAATGTGTCATATTTATGGAGAAATTTGCAAAGGAAACATGTAATTTATTTCCGTTACGAATTTTCCAGAGTGTCTCTGGAATCGGAATTAAAATAACGGAGTATTTCTTTTTACATGGATAACTATTGGATTCTTCTGCCTTGTTCATTTATACCAAGATGCGTATGATCTAATATTAACAATTTTAAAATGATATAATATACAGTGTGTTAAGAAAAAAATTGGCCTCCGTTTTTTTATTGTAGTTTTATATAGAATGTTTTAATTTTAAAATGAGATAGCTTGTTTAAAAGCCAAAAAGCAAGGC